CCACCTTGTTGCGTAAAGGTGAGATTCGTTACCTGCAGCTATCTCCGCCAGGTCAGGCACAGGTGTGTGTGTGTGTGTGTGTGTGTGTGTGTGTGTGTGTGTGTGTGCATGTGTGCCCAATGGGGTGTGTGTGACTGCGCGTATGTTCCAGTTCTGGGACTCCAGGGTGGGGGAGGGACACTAAACCAGAACCCTCCCCAGGTGCATGAATTCCTTCCCTGGTGTTTCTGAAGCAAAGAAGCCGTGAGGGGACAGCAGGTAGTCTGTGGCTGAGGACAGACGCTGCAGAGACAGCTGGACGAGAATCAGTTTGTTCTTTGCTATAATCAGAAACCAATTGCAGCAGGGACCTCAGTGCTGGGAGAAATGAACAGGAGAAGGGCAGATCCAGGCATGTTAGTCCTTGTTGGCACCCCCAACTCCTGCAGGATAGAGCCCAGGCCCGCAGAAAGGTGGCCTCCTCAGTCGGCTCGCTGCCTCCCGACACCTGACTTCACTCCACCTGGACGCAGAGGGCCTCAGGCAAAGCATGTGCTTTCCTGCCCCAGGCCTTTGCTCGTGAGACCTGTGCTCGGAAAGCCTCCCCTCACCTCCACAGGCCCATCCTTACAGGCCCACCTGCCCAGGTGCCCTCTTCCACCCCTGCCCGGGGCAAATTTGCTGTCTCCTTTGTGTGGCCTGCTGCGGGCCTTAGGGCCACTGGGGGCTCCAGCGAGTACCTTGGGAAGACGGGGAGCCACTGGGCCTCCCTTCCAGTCCAGCTCAACCTCCAGCTGTGGAGTCAAATCTCTCTGGGCTTCCTGTCCACACCAGTGTGAAGGGGTCACCCCCAGCCCTGCAGGAGCCACGAGGGTTAAATAAGGCAGTTCTCCCAACATGTGCCTGCTCTGCACCAGCACCGAGAACCACGGAGCTGGTCTGTGAGGAACCCTTGGTGCAGCCTGTGGCATCGGAGGCTCCATCCCAACAGCCCTTGCCAGGCACCCAGGGGGCACTCAGGAGGGCCTGCTGCTCCTCTGGCCACAGTCCCCCACCTCCCTCCCCTGCCCCTCCCCCTCCAGCACACACTGGTCACCAGCTGTGTCCAGGCGGGGACCCTGGACTCCTCCCGCCCCTGCTGGCTCCTGGGACCTTGCCAGCTGTAAGCCATCCCTGCGCGGGCCCCCTGCGGGCTGTGGGGCCCTGTTTTCCAGGAATCAGCATCTCAGCTTCTGCTGGCTGAGACGGTCCAGCCGTTCCTGGGGGCCATGGTTCCTGGAATGGGCCTTCCAAGGAGTGGGTGGTGTGTACTAGGGGTGGGGAGCTGGGAAGGGCCCCCTTTGCCTCCTCTGGTGCCTGGCCAGGTAGGCATGTGGTCCTGCGTCCCTGTGTCTCCTGCCTATCCCCATGTCCAGCACCTTCAGCACCACCCCACTTTGCCCCTGGTTTTTGGGGCGCCGAGTGGGTGTTCCCGCTGCCGAGCCCAGTCTGACCGCTGGCTGGCTCACTTCTTGAGCGCCTCCTGCCTGCCAGTGGGGGGCTGGGGAGGCCTCCCCTTCCCAATTTAGAGGAAAGGATGTCACATGGGCCATCACAGAACTCTGTGAGCAGTCTGTGTGGGCTGCATGGAGGAGGGGATGCCTGGACTGGCCTTGAAGGACAACGGGGATGAGCCTGGTACAAAGGGAGCGGGAGCTTCAGCAGAGGAAAGCACACCGCAGAGGCAGGAGCCGGAGAGAGCCGGCGAGTCCTCCACCTGGGGCTCCGGTAACCTGGGGGCTGGAGGTTGGGCAGGGCCCCACCAGGAGAGCCTCATGTGCCCAGCTGAGGGACTGTGGACTCCATTGTGAAGGGTCACAGGGCCCCACGGGGGAGTCTGGGTGGGGGAGGGGCACAGTCAGCTTTGTGCCTCAGAAAACCTGGAGGCTGGGAGGAGGTGGGGTGGGT